CTGTTCCAAAAATTTTGGATTAGTGACTTTTCTGTTAGTGCATCATAACTACTCACAAGAAATAGAAAAAGTTTCGGCGAGAAGTCAGCTCGCTCAAGATAGCTGAGAACTTTCCTCGTATATGATAATCTTTGAAGGCGGCTTCTATCCTCCCCTCATCTGGACACAGATATGGTTCAAACTCAAGGTCCTTGAGTAGATGGCTCAGTGACAATACCGAGAGGCTGTCATCGAGGCTGGAGATAGCTTGATATGTCAACTTTGTCTCATCGAATTCAAAGGCCGTTGGATAACATACCCATTCGTCAAAGGAATGATAACATCGCCGACGGTGAGCCCATGCACATTTTGTGAGTGGTACTCTATATCGCCGATACATATTGTCAGAGTTTTGATGGGAGGAAAGGTAGCGCGGCTTCTGTATGCAATACGATGTTCGCGAAGATATTTATCTGGGGTTTCCTCGTCCTCTACCTTGCCAAAATCTAACAGGATATCATCAAGTGCCCTTCTGTTATCGTCTGGTTCTCTGCGAAAACCCAGGGATCTAAATACTTGGTTACTGGATGCACATCCTTCACGATCGGTTCTCTCAAGCTCCTGTTCTATACATATCTAGTAATTAGAGGAAAGAGTTACAGGGACAACATTTGTGAAATAACATACTATTTGCTGATAGCCGTTTCGCACCGCATTGGGGATGTGTACACCATCCATCACGATCGATACACTCAAACGCGACGTCCCGCCAGAAATCGACGTTGGCGTCAGGATCTTCATCAGTGGTACACCCTATGCCATGTTCAACACATAGCTTCTCCCAATACCGGCGCACATCTTCTTCCCTTCCATAAAGCGCGGCAAACCTTGGGTCAGCTCTATAGAAACAGACATTGGTTCTAAAGTCAGATTCTGAGATGAAGCTCTTGATCGCGTAAAGAAGCTCTGTAGGAAGAAGAAATGCGATGTTGTGTCGGAGGTTACTGGGCGAGACCATGCCTAGGAATGCAGACTTGGTGGGTGTTGTGTATGGGGAAGGAGGACGCGAGCGATGAAATGGGGTCAGAAGGATATGTGCACAACGTGGTTTACGTACTCTGCGGGACCAGTAGTGTATACAACCTCATGGAGGGCACGTGAACACGCACATAAGGAGATTGGATTGCGAACAAACTCAAATTTGGATGTTAGCCGCGCATAAGTGAGAGTGAGCAGTGGTGTTTGCCAAGCCCCGAATTGCCCTTCGAGTTCGCATTGTTACAAAACGCCCCAAAGTGTTCACCCATCTTCAGCAGCAATTGTCTCGAAATCCCAACGGCTCCCTCCCTCAGGACGTGTGATACGAGCCACTCTGCTCTCAAGGGAAAGCATGGGATAGCCTACACTGTCTCCGACCACCCATTCCTGGACCTCAAAGCCGTTCAGACGGCTGAGGGATTTGAACCTGGTTAATGATTGCGCGAACACAGGACTAACAATACTCACAAGTAATAGAAAAATTGACGCAAGCTTTCTACCCTCGTCAACGCCTCGGGAAAATTCACCGCGTAGACTTGCCCAAGTGCGGTTTCCCAGGCATCGTAATATGCTGAATCACGTAATTGAGGGATGGTGAGTACTTGTTCCAGATTACTGGTAGGTGTCAGCGATCAGAAGTTCTGCAGACATCCATTTGAATGACTCACGTTTGGAAGATACCCTCCATGACATCGAAAACTGTGACACCCATTGGATTTGAAATACCTGCTGGTAAAATAAACACTGGGTGCGCTATAGAAAGAAGATTCAAGACTGGGAACACAGCAAAGCTGCGAGCAGCGATGGGATGTCGGTGAAGGAGGTTGGCCGGCTCTTCCTCGTTGACAAGACCATTTCGATAATCCAGCAATACATCCTCCTCCATGGTCTCTTTCATGGAAGCGTGAAAGGCCATATGTTCAAAGAGCGGGCTAATGTAGAGACCGTCTTCAGGCTCATCCTGTCCGTGCACATCTTTCATGAATTTCTGGAGACCAGTAATGGTAAAATCGGACAATCCCATTGCTTCTATCTCTGTTGCTAAAAGCATATATTTCAGTATGAGCATATGAGTACTACAAGCAGTGACCAGAATACACACCATTCCACTCCAGCCGAGCAACTCCGCATTGTGGGTGCGAGCACCAACCATCTTCCTCGATGCAAGTGAAAGCAATCTCCTTCCAGTTCGCAGCATACGCAGGCGCGTCCGGTACACCAAGACCGACAGACATACAAGCCCGTTCCCAGTATTTCTCTTGAGCAATATCGTCTCCGTACAATGCCGCGAGAATGGGAGATGACTTGTATAAACAAACATGGGTCCGTAGATCAGTAAGGGGTATCTCCTCTTTGATAGTATAGAGCAGCTCTGGCGGAAGGCTCTCTAAGAGGGACATCGTCCCCATGCCCATGTTGGTGGGCGGGTATGAACAAAGATTGACCACGAACGCGGTTCACGTTCAGGTCGATGGACTGGGAGGCAGAACACGTCAAGCGCCCAGGAACGAAGCCTTTGCAAAACAAGTCTAAACAACGGACTCACGATAATTCTTTTTTTCCCTTTTTCCCTTTTAAATTCGTGCATTAAACAGTACATACATGAGAAGCACGGTTCATCTACGATTAGATATCAACGAATGTCACCATGGAGGCAGCCTAACTAGCAGTGGATCCATAGTTCATAAATTGACTGGGCTAGAATGTATGCGACGAACACTCCGAGAATGGAGCTTGAGGCGGCACTTGACCATTGAACAATCGATATTGACCATTTGTATTTTGCACAGCGCAGGAACCTTATAACGGATACTGTATACGCGGTCCGAGTCTTGCGTCGGCGACAGATGAGGTCAATCCCAACCTCGCCGAGTCAAAAAAGCAGCCATGCTCGGAAGAAAAGGAAGAGAACAATCACCCGTTATCGGCAGCAATTGTCTCACAGACCAGGGGATCTCTTTCCTCACCGTCCACACCATCCCATATAGGCCAAGTCGAATCATCCTCTGCGCTGACAACCTTACCCGATGCGGTCTTGGGACGAGTGATACGAGCTACTCGGGTCCGGATGGCTAATATAGGACCATCGTCAACTCTGTCGTGCCAAATGGATGTGTAGGTCTTGAAGCCGTTGGGTCTACTGCGATTTAGATGAGATGAGATCTTTCGTTCATCCGAATTTGAGAGAGAAAGGGGTGTTGTACTCACAAGTAGTAGTAAAATAGGCGCAGAGTTTCGATTCTGCGTAAAGCTTGGATGTCGTTGATGAGATATAATTCTCCAAGTGCGGTATTGAAATGCCCTTCAGGCAACTCCTCTTTGAGCTGAGCCGTCGTCAAGTGTTTCCCCAATCTAAGCAGGTCAAAGATAAATCAATACAACAACCGTCGTAGCACCTATACGTAGGACGATTAGAAGGGGAAATACAACTTACCTCCAAAAGATATGATTCATAACATCGAACACCGTCACGCCATTCGCATTTTGAACCCCGATCCAGTCCATTTCCAGATTTTGTGTATAGAACCTATTCTCCATGAAAAGGGTATGCACGACAGGAAACGTGGCAAAGCTCCAAGACGCAATTGGATGTTTGACCAGAAGGTTCGCAGGGTTCTCCTCGTTAGCCAAGTCCCCGTCGCGATAGTCCAATAAAGCATCTTCGAAGATGTTCCTCTTGGCTTCGCGATGAAAAGAAACGTATTGGAATACCGGAGAAGTCAGCACTCCGAGTTCGGGATCGACGTCTTGACGGCACACAGATTGGAGGTATTTATGGAAAGCAACCCGTGAAAAGTCAGGTAAATTCATGGTTGCTTGAATCTGCTTCGCTATATGCGCAGTTATCAATATGGATCCAGAAAATTCAACATAAGAGCGACGTCCGCTGATATAGACCTAGAGGTATAACTCACCATTCCACTCCAAACGAGAAACTCCACACTGCGGATGGGTACACCACCCATCGACCTCAATGCACGTAAACGCAATAAGCCTCCAATCCCAATCCATCTCTCCCATACACATATCACCCATACGACGGCCATGATCCCCCAAAATCGGAGGCCCGCCAATCCCAACGGCCAAACAAGCACTCGCCCAAAACGCCCTTTGCCTTCCTTCATCTGCGCCGTATAAGGCTGAAAATTGGGGAGACGTCTTGTAGAAGGAGACATGCGTGCGCAGGTCCGTGAGTGGGATTGAGTCTTTGATCATAAGGCGGATCTCCGGTGGGAGCTTTTGCAAGGTCGAGAGCGTGCGAGGGTCAGTTGTTGGTCGACAATTCGATGAGGGCACGGGAGAAACTGTGGGTGGATGGTTATGATTGGGAGAGAACAGAGACGAGGGCCAGGATGATGGAAAAAGTCTTGGGATATACATCGTCAGATATGGATATTCGACGAGATCGACTGTCGCGTCTTGGTCCAGCCGCAACAAAATTTGACGACTTTTGCTTGACCACTGAGACCAGACGCCCAGGAACGAAGCCTTTGCCACTGACACAAGCACAAATAACGCGTGTCACGTTGTCGCGTCGCGGGCGATCGGGCCATGGTCACGGCGGTCATCATCATTAATGTCGAGAAAACTCAAGCTGCCAATCGCCTGTTGAATCAATGCAATCTCACGTCGAGAAAAGACAGCTCACCTCTTCGCAGTCATCTACCTCCAACCTTGACTCCTTCAGCGGTCTCGACTCTCCCAAAAGGTTAAAATCTCATCTCTCCAGAACGTTGACGTTGGGCCAAGGACTCGACGTGACAGTCCGAATCACCACAGCCCAAACCCTCCACTCAAAGACGTTAAACGACCAAACGTCACCAGACTTCTAGACCAATAGGCGTTCACGGGAATTCGGAACGGTGACGGATGAGTCCTTCCTTACCACAACTGCATCCGTTCGAGCTGGGGAAGAAGGAAGCCTACAAAAGCAACCAAAGCAATGCATACGGAGACAAAAAAAGGCTCAACTTCATCGTGGATTCCCATTAGCCGACTTGAACGACTGACCTCGTCATTTGTCTAGTACGATACTAGTGACGCGCTCTACCAGCTGAGCTAAACGGGAGGTTTAAGAAGTGTAAGCGACCGTTGGTTTCATCATTTATATCAGCGCGACTCATCTGGCAGTCTTGGCCTATGTTGAAGAATACAGCTCGGTCCTGGCTCGGTCTCATGCTCACCTCCGAACCCATGGTCCTGGGGGGATGTCGAACGTTGAACGTTCGACCTTTGTGATATGCAAGTTTGGCCAAGTTGAAGTCGTGACGTACCTTCAGTTCCCATTGGAGCAATACCGCACTAATCCTAGACGTCCTCTCGTCTCTTCTCATATCGTCTCGTCTCGTGTCGAGTAAAGACCTGGAACTCTCGGTTCACTCCAAACACAGGAAGCCAAGCTACGATATCTGACAAGATGAGCGTAGACTCATCCGCTCCTGTCTCTATCACGGTATGTAGTGACATTCGTGTCATGTCCACGTTTGATCAAGTCGTCCGATCCCGCATCTTTTGGAGAGGAGAAAGATGAAGGTGCACATTTGCGAGTAGAAAATACTCACCTTCATCAACGTTAGGAAGCTGCAGAATAAATCATACCGAATCGTATCGTACGTTTCTCTCCGTGTCTGAGGCTGTTCCAATCGCTTGGGAACGTACGCGTCTCCGATGGGGAAGTGAAATGCGTTCGGAGTAGGAGTTCTCCTATGAAGTGTGAAGAGTGATCCAAACGAATTCGCGTTTGGAGTACGAAGGTGTGCTTGATGACAGGAGACCCGTGATTGCAAAATGATTGAAATGGTATATGTTCTGGACATTGGTGAGCTGAGCTGTAATGCTTGCCCAAGCTGTAAATATACTTCAATAAGTTTGCATCGTTACAGCAAGTCTACAAGTGATCACCCCTTTTCAGCAGCAATCGTCTCCTGGTTCCAAAGACTTCCCACAGGACGCGTGATACGGGCCACCCTGGTCTCAAGAGAAAGACAGGGATAGCCAATGTCATCAGGTTCTTCATCAGGTTCAACGTCATCAGGTTCAACGTCATCAGGTTCATGATACCATTCTACGAATTCAATACCGTTGAAACGACTAAGGGGCGTAAACGGAATCAGTGACTGCATGGTTCAACTGTGACAGCCGATGACACTCACAAGTAATAGAAGTATTGTCGTACAGTCTGCATCTTGCCCAACGCTGAGGGGAAATCCATCGCGGCCAGCTGGCCAAGTGAAGTCACCCAATCATGATGATCAATCGAACGGTACAATTGATCTACGGAGAGGTAATCATTCAAGCTACCGGCAGCGCGTTGTGAACAACACAAATTCTCGATTAAATAACAAAAATTCTGACCATTCGAAGATACCGTCCATGACATCAGAAATGGTGATACCATCCGGATTTGTGATTATCACGGGCGAATCGAAGACTTCATGCATCACAAGGGCTTTGGTCATGACAGGGAATATGGCGAAGCTGCGAGCCGCAATAGGGTGTTCATGGAGAAGGTTGGCCGGATTCTCCTCGTCGTCCACAAGGCCGTTCCGATAGTCTAGCAACGCATCTTCTTCCATTGTTTGTTTCCTTGAATAATGAAACGACAGATAACGGAAGAGCGAGCTGATGTAGGGATGGTATTCGGGCCCTGTCGCGTGCACATCTTCCATGGATCTTCGGAGACCATTCATCGTAAGATCGTTTAATTCCATTTCTTCTATTTCTCTCGCTGTAAATAGTTGAATATAGGATAAGCGTATAGAAACCACAAGCTATAACCATGCTACGTACCATTGATGTTCAACCGGGTAACCCCACATTTCGGATGCGAACACCAGCCATCTTTCTCGATACAGGTAAAAGCAACCTGCTTCCAGTCTGTATAAGATGCAGACCCATTCGGTGCGCCAAGACCAACAGATATACAAGCTCGTTGCCAAAAGAGCCGTTGATCAAGAAAGTCCCCATATAATGCCGCGAGGATAGGAGTTGTCTTGTAGAAACAAACATGTGTCCGGAGGTCAGTTAGGGGTATCTGTTCCTTGATCATATGGAGGAGTTCTGGCGGAAGCCTCATGAGCAAGGACATTGTCCCCGTGCTGGTCATTTGTGGTGTCAGACCATGAATGCGGTCCAAGTTCAAGTCCAAATTCATGACCTGTCAGAATACATGCGGCAAACGCCTAGGAACGAAGCCTTTGCACAACACGTGCAAACAAATGACGCTATAGCCATTTTGCGAGTGAGACGTCCGAGTCAAACACCCGTTTCTCTGCTTACCTTCTCGTCGTTGCAAAGACAAACTCATAAAGACGAAGACGCGATGCCAGCGGAACGCATGCGCCCGCGTCATAGGCAAACTTGCCGAGTTTGGAGGTGTAGTATTCTAATTATGAGACTCGGACTCCTGTGCAACCCCGCCTGGGTAAGTATTGTAGGCCATGCTCAGGTATGTTGCGATGTCTTCTGTAGCTAGGGGCATGCGTCTCCAAACTACACGTACATCTCGTTGCCTACACAGCCAGGACGACCGAGCTGCAGTCATACAGTTCCACTTCATTCCCGGCGCGCATTTTGCTCGTGGGAGACGTGATCGACGATTGCACGAAGGGAGTCGCAAGGGGGTCGGGTTAGGCTCTTCGTGCCGTCAACCTCTTTATGAGTACTACAGTTTTCTTTTCTTTTAAAGTGAGATGATGCGACCGTTGATAGTGTAGCTGTACTCCATATAACCGTATATGAAGGCATCTCTCTTAAATGTCATGCATACGGCATCCTTTCCTGACGCGCCGAAGAATTGCGCCACCGAGCCGTTCAATAGTGCTGCCGGATAGTTGACTGCAGTTGGCTATAGTCAGGATTTTTCCCAACTATCATTTACGTAGTTAGCGGTAGTCACAACTATAGTCAGTAAATAGTTCGCACGTGACTCCCCTTACGCACGGCGGTTGAGGCGTACATCGAGAAGAGCCTGTTGAAAGGTCAATTTTGGGTCGTACTTCAAGCATTTCAGATGACAAATAATGTATTGTATATACGGCTACAGTGTGCTATCAGTCGTTACTAGTCATGTTGCGAAAGAGATCTCCCAAGTCAATAAATTTGGCCTCCCGCAATAGCGCATGCACGGCATACTCGGTAACCTCACCCTCAGTTGTACAGTCCTGTTCTTCTGCAACTGGCTCGAGAAAATTGAATGTGGGCCCCACTAATTCTTGAGGACTTGTAAGGCCTCAACTGTGCTTGGAGCTAAGCAACTTCTCCGAGCAGGCCTGTTCCCGCTACTACCATCTGGAATTCATACTATTCAGGGTGTAAAACCTTGTAAATACTTAGGGAGGCGCGTTTGGCTTAAAGACATAGTTACTATCCAGAAGGAAGAAGGATGCGCGTATGCATCTAGCGAGAGACGTTGCGCGTCGCGCACGCGCAGCGGCGCACAGCCCATCAATATGAAGCACGTGTGCTACTCTCGTGACTTCGGATATGACTGCCGAACATTTAACTCAACTATTTCTCAACTACGTAGTCAACTGGGCTACACTACGCAAATTATAGCTGGCAACTATTTCTCGGGACTATAGTTGTAGCCTAGTCAACTACAACTACGCGGCAGCACTACCGTTCAATAAGTTCAGAACCTTCCCTTTTCCCACTCGAGACTGGACTCTCAATGAGTACTGAGTTCCCATACTATGACGTATAATAGTCAGCACATTGCTTGTCGATTCAAATTCAAAGGGCTTACAAAGCCAAGAAGGGTTCTAAGCGACCGCTATAGTGACAACCATATGACGAATCATGCATGGCTAGAGATATATAAGGGCGCGTGAACGAACGAAATACCCAGGCTTCGGGACCACTTCGAGCACAGAGCCCACTCCATCTGTCAAAGTCGCCCCATACTGAAAAACCGCGATGCCGCCCATCCGACTTGGCGTGATAGGCCTCTCAACGAAAGGCTGGGCAAGCCGTCTTCTCATTCCACCCATCTTCGACCCTCTCCTCTCCTCTCACTACAAACTCACCGCACTATGCACCACGAACCCTTCCTCCGCTCAAGCTGCCTCAGACAAGTACAGCAAACTCGCCGGTAGTGCTGTGAAAGCCTACCATGGGGACTCGGGAGCCCAGCAATTGATCAAAGACCCGGAAGTGGATATGGTCGTAATCAGTGTAAGGATTCCTGACCATTTGAAGTTGGCATTACCGGCGATCGAGGAGGGGAAGGATTTGTTCATAGAGTGGAGTGTGGGGAATGGGTATAAGGAGACGAAGGAGATTGCTGATGCGATTGAGAGGAAGAGAAAGGAGGGTAAGGGTATAAAGTGCCTGGTGGGTGCGCAGGCAATCCAGAGTTTGTGGTCCAAGAAGGTGGGCTATACCTCGCTATTACGGTGATGGAGGATTGAGGGTTGAATGAGAACCGTGTGCACAGGTCAAGGAGTTAGTCAAAGAGGGGAAGATTGGGAGAGTTTTGTCAAGCACTATCGTACGTTCATTCACAGTCCATTTTGCGGGGGATGCGTCATACTAAACCTGTGGTATAGATCTTGAACGGTGTACAAGCTGAAACTGGAATGTGGGGACCTACAGCCTACGACGGCACTCGATACGTCTTTGACGTCAAAAACGGTAAGCGGTCGATTTTGCAACAGTTGATATAGTGCTCAATTCACGTCCTCGTACGCCTAGGCGCGACACCACTTACGATCAATACAGCTCACCTACTTGCAGTCGTCACCGACATCTTCGGCTCCTTCACCTCAGTCACTGGGGACGCGACGATCCAAATCCCCACAGCCGAAGTCCTTGATGCGAATGACAAGCCAACTGGGGAAACCCTCACAAAGACGACTCCGGACCAATATGGGTTCACGGGTACTCTGGCGGATGGGACGTTCCTCACCGCACACGTCCGATCTGGCATCAAACTGGGAGGAGAGCAAGGGAAGGCGCGAAGACAATTCTTGTGGGTGATCGATGGAGAAGAAGGGAGCATTGAAGTCCAGGGTCTGCCCGAGCACGGAGACCGGGCTTACGCGACGACGACCTTGGAGAAGAAGGTGT